GTGAATTTCGCTTATCAGGTCCGAAAGATAAAGCATCCAGGTACACAACCCCACGTTTTTAATGTCAATCAGAAGAGGGTAAAGCCCAGAACAACGGCCTTGAAAAGAGGCCTTCTCCGACGCCGGTTTTGGTGCTGAAAATCAGCTCCGGTTTTCTTACGTTTCTCACCAAATCCTCGCTGACCAATATCAATAATTGAATGTTCGGTCTTTTTTAAGTTGACTGTACGTCCACAATTCAATTAAACGCCTGCAAACGCCAAAAATGAGCTGTTGCTTCGCAACATTTTAGTTGTGGCTACAAAATTTCATTTTGAAATATAAAACGAAGTAGTAAGAGTTGGCATTTCGCTCATGGCTCATAAGATTCCTTAGATAAAACTCTATAAGTAGGAACAAGCGCCAGAACGCGAAACAATGCGGTTTTCTTTTAAATATATACATAAATTGAATATAACCTCCTAACCTCTAAAGAAAAAATGTCTTGTTTTTACATTTTTCGACTGTTTTCTTTACAATATCGCGTCGTCTGAGGGTGAATAGGGCCGAGGACTTACCGCAGTTCGAGTGGCCCATCCGCTTAGAGTCAGAGATAAAATATATACGTGTTATAACTTTTGGCTTCTGCTCCGCTCACGACTTTCAGTTTCTCTTTGATTATGGGCTAAACAATGAAAAACCGCAAAAACTAAATGCAGATTCTTACTATTCGACATCAAAAATGTCTAATCTGTAACAAAAACGACTTTTGGAACGGGTTTTGGAAATTTCCCCCTTTTTTTCGCCCCTTGTGATTTTCAAAACGAGGAAAAAATTGAAGATTTGCAGTTTGCGCCCCTTAAAACCTTCATAAGTGCCTAAAACTGTGCCTTGCAGCTTACGGCACGCCGATAAATTAGTTTTGGCCGCGTTTGAGACGATTGGGACCACTGTGCGTCGTGGCCTTTGCGGTCCGTGGGTGGAGGCCCGACTACTCGTACGGAGCGGTCCGGATTCAGCCACTAGCTCCGCACAGTGGGGCATAGACCGTCGCTGCGGTGGCCAAACCTCTGCTCCAGAGTCGCCAGACAGGACTCGAACCGAACGTGTGACCCCGTCAATGGTTGCTCTCCGAACGAGGAATCCATTGATGGGGTCACACGTTCGGTTCGAGTCCCATCAACGGGTTCCTCGTTCGGAGAGCAATCCATTGGTGGGGTCACTCGTTTGGTTCGAGTCCCATTTAACGACTCTGGAGCTCTAAATGCGTCCGGAATTTTGACCGCCTCCACCACCAGTCTTCTGGCCCTCTGTGCCGTGGTGTGGACGCGGCAGCACATGTCCCGATGTCCGCAGTGCCGCCGCTCTCGCGTTCTCACGGAATATTCTCTCCGGGCGGGAGGAGAGAAGAGGGGAGGGTGGACGATGAAGTTCTCTCTGTCTCTTGTCTTGTCCTGCCTGACCACGGGGCAGCCCATGACGTCAGTAATGCACCCGCAAACGGAGGCCAAATTCGTGAGAGTCGCGTGTTTGGCCACTGGCAGCTCGCTTTATTCCCGGCCGCCGACATATGGCCGGCCCTGCCTCGTTGGACGGGGCGCGAACGCTGCAGTTTACTTTGGAACTGGAGTATAAATGTGGCGAATGGTCTTGGGGGGGCTGGAGCCGGCCTCCCAGTCCCAAGATGTGCGCTGCCCGGTCACGACGCCGCCGCCGTCGAAGGCAGCCGCGCCGCCGCCGCCGGTCCGATCGGTCGGCGTAATCGGCGCGAATGAATCTTTTGGTTGTGAAAGGGCTCAGATCACAAAATGCCTCGAAAAAATTAAGTTTTCTTGAGCTTAACGCGTTTTCCCGGCAAAAATTTGCAATTCCAAATTTGCCTTACCTTCCCCCCCCCTCTTTCCGCCTTGGCGACGTAGTTCATAAAGATGCCGAAAATCAACACCCAGAAAGTAAATGGTTTTTTACGTATTTAAAGTATATATTTGTTAATAACTTGCTCTATTTGCGCACTTATGTCATTTTAAACATGTGTTTGACTAAATTTTGAGACCCTATGGTTAGTAAAATCAAAATTTCTTTCACGCCGAATACGCCGATTACGCCGCCCCCCGCCGGCCCTTTAAAATTTACCAAGCGCCGCCGCCGACCAAACTGGGGTCGGCGACACGTCTACCCAGTACAGGCAGCAGCTGGCGGCCTGCTCCAAAGATCGTCAAGGGGTGGATCGCGATGGATCGTGCTCCCGAACGTCGGTTCGGGTGGGTTTCCAAACCCAAAAACCCGAAGCCCCGGGTTTTTGGGCCCCAAAAACCGTTGACCAGCTTCGAGTCCCGGTGGCGCCAAAATTTTTTTTTTTTCGCGACTTCAGAGCTGCAACCGCAACTAACATTTCACGGCACACATAAATACCGTGGAAAATTTTTTTTCAAGAACCTGAAGGGTACCAGAGACCGACAAAAATGCAGGCTTCTGCCGGGACTCGAAGTGGGCCGTCCCCGGGCCCGGGGCCCCACGCCCGCCAGGGCTTGGCTCGGACCGCCCCAGGCCGACGTTGGCGGAACGATCCAACGCGATCCCCCCTTTGACGATCTTTGGCCTGCTCCCCCCTTTCCCCCGCCTCAAGGCCAGACCGCCTGGGGTTAGACCGGCCCGAAACGCGGCCGTGTGGGCGGTTTTTCGGCGGGGGGTTTGGGCCTACCCCGCTTCTGCGGGCGTTTTCCAAGGCGGGGACTTCCAAGACCGTGGGGGTGCGTGGGGGGCTGTGAAAAGGTTTTGGGCGGGGGGTTTGGGCCAGGTGGGGCCCCAGAATCTTGCCAGGGGGGATGAAAGTATACTCGCGGCCGAGGGTCACTGACAAAAAGGTTCCCCAAAGGGCGGCAGTGGCCCTCGACCGCGGGAACTCAGAGGTCTTCTTTTTCTGGTCGGAGTAGTTTTAGTGGCGCTTTTGCCTGCCTTCCAGGTGGTTGCAGTGCCTTGGGCGTCTCAGGAGGGCGCGGGATAATTAGCAACCCCCCCCCCCCCCTTTCCCCGAGGAGCCGCGCCCTTTTGGGCCCCGCCTTTGGCGCACGTCGGGGCGTGCCCTGAGCGCCCTGGCACTCCCTTTAAAAATTGGATCGGGAAGCTGGTGGTTTCCCGGGGGGGAAAGGTCCACCACACCTCCCAAAAAATGTCCGGAAATGCCTTTAAAATTTTTACCATTTTTCACTGTAGGTCAATTCACAGCGTTTACTGTGAGCTGCTCACGGGATTCACTGTGATCTTTTTCGCGGGTTAAAGTGTCTGGTCCCCAGTAAACCTGTGAGTTGACGCCGCAAAGCACCGAAGTACTGCAAATCAGGCTCCAATTCACGGCGTTTACTGTGGCCCGATCACAGTGAACACTGTAACCCAGATCACAGTGAACGCCGTGAACTGTTCAGCAAACGCCCTGAATTTTCTCCCGAAACTTTGGGAAAAAATTTTAAAGGCGTTGACAGGACATTTTTTGTAGGGGTGGGGGAGGCCGGGGGGCTGCCCCTGCTTGTCGCATCTTGCCAATGCTGCATCTCGCTAAGCTGCATCTCGCTAATGCTGCTTCTCGCTAATGCTGCTTCTCGCTAATGCTGCAAACCTCGCCAATGCTGCATCCTGCCAATGCTGCATCTTGCCCACTCTACAAACTCAAGCGTGTACATAGTACACTCCACCTGGAGCCAACATGCATGTACACTCCAACCCGGAGAAAACCTGGCATGTACACTCCAGGTTGGCGTGTATTGCCAAGTACACGCCAGGTGGCGCATACCTGCAGGTTCACTGCTGCCCGGTCTATCACGCAAAGAATAGGGAGCCAGCAATATTTTACCTGAAGGTATGCGCCCCCTGGCGTGTACTTGGCAAGTACACGCCAACCTGGAGTGTAGGGGAAGTTGGGGAAGAATAGTGCAGGGTAAGAAAAATACACCCTTATGGAGCTGATACCTTGACTTTGAGCCATCCGCCGACCGGTTAATTTTTCTAAAAAGGAAAATTTGAGTATGAAATCCCTTAGAAATAGATGTCAAGATGCCCGCTGTTGGCCACAGGGGGATGTACTTTTCTTACCCTGTACTTTTCTTCCCCAACTTACCCCTACATGCCAAGTACACTCCAACCTGGAGTGCACATGCTAGGTATGCTCCAGGTTGGAGTGTACTATGTACACACTTGAGTTTGTAGAGCATGCTGCATCTTGCCCATTTCATCTTGCCCATGCTGCATCTTGCCCTGGCGGCCCTCTTGCTCATGCTTCGTCTTGCTCTTTCTTCGTCTTGCTATGCTTGTCTTGCTCATGCTTCGTCTTGTCATGCTTGTCTTGCTCATGCTTCGTCTTGCTCATGCTTTGTCTTGCTAATGATGCGTCTCCATCTTGGTTTTGGTTGTGTGGTGTGATCCCGGCGACCCCCTGGCGACCCGCATCCCATGGCCGGCCCATGGCGGCCACGTCGAGGCCCGCCTTCTGCCGGGGCTTGCTGCCGCTTGCTTGGCGCGTGCCGGTGCCGGTGCCGGCCGGCGTGCCGCCGCCCCGACGACCCCCTTCCCTCTCCCTTGCACCCCTCCCCCTCCCTCCCCACCACCTGTTGCTGTGACGTGACCTGAGCACGTGGACCCATGGACCCACTGCACTCCTCTTCCCCCTCTCCACCCTTCCCCTCCGCGGCGAGCGCAGTACGCGCGCCTCGGGGCCGCCAGCCCCGCCAGCCCCGGCGTCCGAGTCACGTGACGGCCGCTTTTCCCGCCAAGCAGGCCCGACCCGGCCCGGCCCTGCGCGGCGCGGCGCTCAGCTGATGTGGCTGGCTGCTCGGTCCGACCGGCCTCGGATTCTCGCCGCCCGGCTCGGCCCTCCCGCGGCCTGAAGCCTGAAGCCAGGCAGCCGGGCCTCGCCGGGCCGCGCTAGACCGCCAGAGCGCGCGGGGGAAGTCCAGCCAAGCCCGTCCAGCCGCCGTCGCTGGAGTCGCTGGAGACGTGTGTGGCTGACATTTGCTGTCGTTCGGTTTCAGACAACCAGAGGGCGTACCATGGACTCTCCACTGACCTGTTCAAGCCGTCGGACTACGACAAGCTGGCGATGTCCCTCATGTCGCCCCTGCCCAACGAGCAGGACTTCGCCATCAACGTCGTCACGCTTCTTTCAAACGAGGGGAGACACACCTTAAAATTAGACAAGTGCCCAAGACTGGTGGAATTTCTGTTAGCTCATGCAGCAGTTTTCAGCAATGGTTTGTAGAGTTATTTTCTTAGCTTTTTTATCAATTGGTTGTGTTTATATTTGCTATTATTATACTGTTACTAATTATTTTTCTTTCCTATTTAGAGGGTACAAAGAATTTATTTCAAGATGTTTATGGGAAAGTACGACGTAGCTCAATGACACACTTTTGGGCTGATGTTCTGGAAGACCCTGAGCTGGCCCACCTTGCCGATGAAACACAATGGCCACTGAAGTCAAGAACATCACTAGATTCGCGTGTTTTTAGGACAGATAGTGCATATACAATTGGCAAAAGCCGTTTTAGCAATAAAAATACTTTTCAAAGTGACAATGAATTAGATGAGGAGTGTGCTATGGATGTTGATTATCCCAGTGATGTTGTTCTGGGTAGAAGAAAAAGTGGGGAGAGTTCAAAGACTGACAGTGGAAAGAAGAAAGAACCCAGATTTAAAATTGAACCGTCCGATTTAGAACTATTTTGCCTTGGCCGATCAATGGGCACTCAAGATCACTTAGGTCAGAGGGTTGTACAGGTAAATAAAACGTCAATTTATTAAATTCACATGTTCTATTGATCATAATTAATAAGACTGTGTTGTGGTTTCTCCCCTACCCCAATTCTTAATTTCCAGGTTGCAACCATTCTAAGAAATCTGAGTTTTGGAGAAGAGAACCAGTCTCTTTTGGCAACTAACCCAACATTTATTAGGTTTATATTGTTATGTATGAGTTCTCGATGGGACTCACTGAAACAACTTGGATTGGATACTCTGGGTAACATTGCCTCTGAAATTCCAATGGAGAGATTAAGCTCAGATCCGCTACTGCAGTTAATATTGTCATCAATCACTCAACGGCTGTATGGGCAAGATCGAGCTGGCATAATAGCTGCTCTTGAAGTTTTGAACAAACTTGGCCAGCGGGAAGATAATGAGGATGCAATACAGCGTTCTCTTGATGGAAAAGTAAAATTGATTTTTTTTCTTTCTGTAATCTTATCTTTTTATAGGTTTTGGTTACAGTTGATTCTAAAACTTTGTGTTCTTCCCTCTAGATCTTTGAACAAATCTGTCAGTACCTGACCCTGCATGATATCATGTTGCTAATGCACACCCTTGAGTGTTTGTACTCACTGTCTTCCCTTGGAGAAAAGGCATGCAATTGCATTGTGAGAGTACATGGGGCCGTCGATACTCTTGTGTCATTAATTACAGTAGAGGTAAGTTCCTTTTAAACGATCTTAATTCTGTAACTCTTTTACTAAGTCTCAGAATAATGGAGTAACTGTTTTTCTGTTTTCAGGCCCAAAGCTACGGCCCAAAGGCATGTATTTTGATGCGTGTTGTTGAAACTGTAACAACACACGACGGCAGTGGCCACAGCAACCTGACAGTGCTCCAGCCACCTGCCTCTTCCTCTCTCCACCAACCTGACCACTCTCAGGCAGGACATTCAGGTCTAAATACTCAGGCTATATCTTCATTACAACATCAACTCGCCAAAAAAGTTTACCCTGCAACATCTGTGGCAACTAAACCTATCTCCATTCGTATGTATTGTTAGTTAGTTTTAATATTCCTTTTACTTCTGTTTCCCATAATACATGCTTTTGTTTTATTTCCTTAGGACCTTCATTTGTTACTTCACAAAGTACCTCTGGATCTCCTGTAGTAACATTACACCCTCAATTGGCCCTGCAGCAGCATAATCCTAATCAGCCCACCATGTTTCCACCATCGTCACATCATTCAATACTTCCTGCATCTTCATCAGTTCAGAGTAATGCAACAGCAATTCAACCTCAGCCTACACCAGCTTCAAGCCAAATGATGTCAGTCATAGCTCAAGCCCCTCCGATGTCAGCGCCAGCCTCAGTGATCCAACATCCACCATCCTCACAGAGCCCCCAGCCGTCGCGACAAACTGCCACGCCACCACCTTCCCAAAGTCAAGTAAGTGAAATTATTTTCCTTTTGTGTGGTTTAGTTGGTTAACCATCCCACATGGTGCTTTAGGATTAAACTATTTGTATCTTCATTATTTCCAGACCGCTTCTGCACAGCTTTCAGCACAGGATAGTGTTGTCAAAGAGAATGAGCAGTTTGCTGCTACTTTCTTGCGAGCCACTTACGAAAATGTTCCTGGGTCGCGAGTAGAGCAGAGTGAAGTTTATAACAAATACCTCAGTGCCTGCGCCAAAGCCGGAAGAAAGGGAGTGATTGCCCCTCACCACTTTCCTAAATGTGTCAGGTAAGATGAGGTTCCTCTAGGGTCATATATTAATGTTGTGACTGAATTTCAAGTCTCACTGATGTTAATTTCCAGAACTGTGTTTGGAGTTACATCTGTCCCAGTAGTGAAGCCGGTTATGCTTGCTGGAGACACAGCAGGACTCAGCAAGCAGCATTTCTATGAAGGAATAAAGGTGCGACCCAAGCCCATCCCTATCCATTTGGAGAGGACTGCGCCCGGTACTAGTGGTGTCACTGTTGACAAAAGACCAACTAAGGCTAAAAAAGCATTGGCGGCATCTGCTGGCACAGCACCATTAGTTAGTAGCACAAGTTCAGACAATGCAGATCCTGGCCCGTCAACTTCGGTTCCTTCTTCAACCTCTTCCTTCACTCAACCCTCCTCTATCCTACTTAGTCAACTCAGCGCACCCCCCAAACCCAAGGATACTCCCTCAACCCCGGACAATGCCAACCAGGTACGCATTGAATTCTATAAGTTGGTGATGGGCTGGTAGTAATTTTTGCTGACCCACCCCTTGTACATGTAGTAGCAGTATCTGAAAGTAAAGTAAAAAGAGGATCGTAAATTTGTGATAATGATGGCTCTGCAATATTCCCCTTTTTTTTCTTTTTCTTTTTTTTTTTTAGTTTGTGTGAAGTTTTTGTTGCAGTACCAGTGTTTTTAATTTTAATTTGAAAGTTTTATTTTAGGTGTCTGTTAAGTTTAGTAGAGTAGACTTGTGTTGGTGTCTGTGTGCCAAAGCCTGTAGCCATTCTGTGGTAAAGTAAGGGAAAAGCTATTGAAGTTTCTAAAAGTACTTGAAGTGAGGTCTCACTTCTTTTAGTGTTAGTTTTATTTTAGTTGTCTTTAGAAATTTACTAGCAGAATATGATGGCATTTTGACTATGAGTTTATTTGGGTGTCCATGTGTTAGTGGTATGGTTTTTTAAGTTTAGCAAATTTTGTGTTGGCTCAAAGGTTACAACCCATCCGCATCTCAGTCAAGCCTTGTTGGGTTCTGAGACAAGTTCTACTGCGTGTACATCAGTGGCTGCAAGTACTAGTGCAAGCTCAAACAATTTATCCCAACCAACTTCATCTGGGGCACAGTCCTCAAACACATCTCTTATCAAGAGTTTGCTTGCTACTAAGGTAGGCGAGACTGGCCTGACAAGCACGCAGCCTGCTGGCATGAGTGGAAACTTAACCAGCTATAACACCGACATCAGCAATACCCAGCAGGTGAGCCGCCCAGCCAGCTAAGCAGTTTAGTAGGGCCCCAGTTAGACGGTTTCTCATTAGGTTCAGCTCAAGTATAGGTCATGAAGCATTCTTGTTATTTATTAATATTTTTGTATAATTTTATTTGCTTTGTAAGTTCATGAAAGTTTTTTTTATCTCATTTCATTTGGGCATATAACTGTTGAATGGCATCTTCTTTCAGTCAGTAATTATGACACACGCACCTCAAGTAAGCTAAGCTGGCATCTAGGCGGCCCTGTTCTGGTTTTATAATGCGTCTTTACGCGTGTTTGTGTGTGTGTATTTTAGCGCATGAGAGTAGCTCCTTATTATTCCTATGTATTGTAGAAGTTATGTTTGGGTTCACTCCAGAAATTACTGTTTACAGAGCATGTTTAGTAGGTAGTTTGAACTAGAATTCTTGAAGCTCAACCCAACTACTAACCTAGCAGTTGATTTCAGGGTCTCAAACCCCACCTTCTTTCCCTTCTCTTTTTCCTTACTAATCATGGTTGTACTACTACAGTATCTTAAATATTTGTTGGCTTGTGTAGTTTTTAGTTTGTCTCGTTTTTCCAAAGCCTGTGTCTAATTGTATATTAACATTGCAGATTTACATTAGCTTCTTAACTGGTTTAAACATCCCCTTATTTTTTGGCCCAGGTATTGATTAATTACCTTAAATTTCAGGTTGCCCAACGACAACGATTGCAACAGCAGCAGCTTCAACAACCTGCCCAAGCGCAACCACAAAGTGTCCCTGCACCAGCTCCATTGCCAATCCCCGCGCTAGTGGCATCAAAGCCTGAAGCAACAGAGCTCACACCAACAACGCCTGCGGTGGAGTCAACACAACAGCCTCAACCTGAAGCACAGGTGGTTGTTCAAGTGGCTCAACAATCACCAGCATTGGTGCCAACAAGTAGTGATCAAATACCGGGTGGCCTACTTGCATCAACCATAATTAACCATAAAGGAAAACCTGTGAGAGTTGCTAGGATAAATGGTGCACGCACCCCTGGCATCCTTCAACTGCAACCGCAGGTATGTCTCACAAAGTGTAAATATGAAATTTGAAGTTTCTTTTCTTCTTATCCTTGTTTTTCTTCTGTGGTTTGGAGTCTTACTATGCTGGTTTCTTTGGTCCCCCCAGATTGATGCTCCAGAAACAGAAAATCACACAGGTGGCTCCGGACTACAAGGCAGAAGAGATCCTCCACAGCCACCTCCTCTTGCCCCTCTGAGCTCGGGATCTAACCGAGTTGTTCCCCAGGAAGTGACTGATAGTGCTAGTGTTATTAAATGTATGTATTTTTTTTCTATTAAGAAAATTGCTTTTACCTATCATACGTTTGTTTGCTGATGGAATTTTACTTTTAGGTACAAATAATGTAATTATTGCTGATGAAAATTTAACCAAAGCTGGCAATCAAAGTATGGAGGGAGTACTTGTCAATGGTGCTGCACATCTAGAAATTAAATCAGAAATCAAGGAAGAAGGAACCATAGAAGAAACTAAACCAATCTCAAAAGGAAATCTTATGCTTGTGGATCTTCTAGAAAAATCTGTTGATGTGAAAGAACCTCCAGTATTAAATGGTGGACTATCTTGCAAAGATCTGTGCATCAGTGAACGAGGGTTGGAATTAGTTTCAAAAGGTCCCAAGTCAGACTTGGGGAAGCAGATCAGAATCACTGAACGTGGCCTTGAAGTAGTTGATACTGCAACTGGCGGCACTGAAAAGGAGCTGCTTGGCATGGAGCTGCGTCTCACTGAGCGAGGCTTGGAGCTGGTTGACAAGCAAGGGGAAGCTCCTCAGCCTGTTGTAGTAGCACCACCAGCTGTGCCACAGGACAATGTGCTTCAGAAAGAGCTGTTGGTGGGGGAAAGATTGTTGGAATTCCTGGAGAAGCAGGATGGAAACCTTGAAGATGAAATCATGGTGGGTCCTGAGGGAGACTTGGCATCTTCTTTAAAAAGGCCGGCAGGAGATGCGGATGATAAGAGTGATGTTAAAAGACTGCGACTAGAAGTTAATGGAAATGGCTCTAATTCTGGGGATGAGTCGAGTCAAGGAGAAGAAAAAGTAAAGGCCTCATCAGCTGCTGCAAATCTTTACTCCGCCCTTGCTGCGTCTATCCTGGACGATGAAGAGGAAACACTAATGCCCCCTCTACCTGACACAACCGTGCCTGACACTCTGCCTGTCAAAGAGGAGGCAGTCGAGCCTCAAACTGGAAGTGTCGATCAATCAGTTGCTCAAATCAGCGTTCCGTCTCAACCTCAGCTGCAGTTGGTGCAGAGCGGTGGAACACTACGTCAAGTATACGTGAGCTCAGACCCCAACCAAGCAGCTCCTCAGCAAGTAATGATGGCGGGTACCAGACAAATAATCGTCTCCCAAGGTGGGTTGCATTTCTTAAATGGTCTTTGCTCCTGCTGTTACATAGTTGGAGTGTTTCCTTACGCCCCTCTTTTTCGACAGCTCTCACTGGCCAGAACCAAGTGCTCATCACCACTGCGGGCGGCTCGATAGCTCTCCAGGGCACGGCGGGGGCGGCAGGCACCGCGACTTTGAAGACCGTCTCTGGGCAGACGCTACCCATGTTGATGACCTCGGCTGGTGGAGGCAGTGTGATCGCGGGGGCGGTGGCGAGGCCCGCGCAGTACGTCGTGTCCCAGCAGGGCCAGGTGAGTAGAGGACTTCGGCTGCTACCAGTCTAGACCAGACTAGGCCTTTTATTTTTCAAGTTTTTGACTTTGACACTTTGCTCTTGCTCTCCAGCAACTGCAACTCGTTCAGCCGGGCAATCAGATCCAACTAACTTCCACTGGCGTGGGCGGGCAGCAGTTCCTGATGGCCCAGCCCCAGACGGCCCTGATCCAGGGGCAGCCCCAGACCGTGCTCGTGGCGCAGACGCCGCAGCAGCAAGGCACCAACGCCAAGACCATCATCATCCTGCAGCAGCAGCCCAGCAGCGGGGCCAGCGTGCCGGTGAGCGCCGTCGGCGCCGTCACGGCCACCCAGCAAGCCGTGCAGGCCGTGCACCAGAAGGTGCTGGCCGTGACTCCCCAGGGGCAGCAGGTAATGGTGACTCCCGTGCAGAGGCCCGTCATTCAGGCGGGGGCCGTCAGCCAGACCCCGCCCGCGCTCGTCGCCACCGCCCAGCAGCCGTCACCGTCGCCGTCGCCCGCGCCCACCGGCATCCCCACGCCGGTGCTGACGGCCAACCCGTCGCCGACGGCCACCCCGCCGCCCATCCCGACGCCCACCATCACGGCCAACCCCAACGCTGGCGGCGTGGCCGTTGCCGGTGCCAGTGGTGCTGCCGGTTCTGCTGCCGGCGCCCTTGCCACTGCCGTTGCGAGCGCCGTTGCCAGCGGCAGCGTCGTTGCGAGTTCCGTTGCCAGTGGCAGTGCCGTGGCCGTTACTGGTGCCGTTGCCACGGCCGTTGCCAGCACTAGTGGCAGTGGCAGCACCGCCGGCGTGGCGACGCGCGCCAACGTGGTGCGGCCCAGCCCTACGCCGAGCCCCAGCTCCACGGCCTCGACCTCAGCCGCGAGCAAGCCCAACGGGGTGACGGCCTGCCCCAAGATAGCCACGAGGAGCTCCGTCGCCAAGGCGGCCACGCTCAACACGGTGACGCCGGCCACGCCGGGGCCCTCGAGCACCGCGGCGACCTCGACCACGGCCACCGCGACCGTGCCCAAGGTGGCGGCGCTGCCCAGCACCGCGCCGAGGGCGGGCGGCATGCCCAGCCCCGCGCCGCGGCCCCCCAACCAGTCCATGTTCCTCTGCGAGTGGCGGGGGTGCATGAGGTGAGTCGAGGCCGGAATGAGGTCCGATTCCGGAGCCTGTTGTCGCCGCTAGCCGCTAGGCTGCAGGGCAGCCCGGAGTAGTCCGAATGGGGGAGTTTCTGACTCATCCGGCTTATGTCTGTTCCAGGAGCTTCAAGTCGGCCAACGAAGTGTACATGCATGCCTGCGAGTCGCATTGTCCGTCTGGAAGCCAAGAGATCCAGTGCTTGTGGGAACGGTGCGACGCCATGAAGAGAAAGAGATTTTCGCTCATGACTCATTTATTCGACCGACATTGTAATGCTGACGTGAGTTTTGATGGTTGTGCTTGTATTTGTTCTTTTGTGAATTATAGTGCCGCGAGCTCATTGAGATGTAACTACGCAGGTTTTGAGAATGATGGCCGTGCGAAGACGGCAGCTGTCCCAAAGTGGGCGCAGCGAAATCCCTCCTCCGCAACCACCGCCGCCCCACCCTGGTTATGCACCCAATGCAGCATTCCATGCAATCAAGAGGCACGCGTTGGAATTTGTGAATCCCAAAGAACTATTGGTAAGTTGTAGTGCATTCAAAGTAATAATTTTTTTTTTTCTTTCTCGTTTTTAGTACTGTACTCAAAATATTAACGCTATAAACAAATATCTAATATTTGTTTTGTTTTCAAAAGTGTTAATTGTTTGCAATATCACTTGTGGGTCATCCATTCCTAGCGTCAGGGTCTCAGATCCTTGGTTAATCTGGTATTTGATGGATTATTTAATCCCTCCCCCTCACTGATCTCATGTCTCTTCCCTCTAATCCCTAACCATGGTTTGGGTAGTATTGTTTCTTATGTCTCATCATGGACCCTTGGTCATCCTATCATGGGCCGTGGGTTACATTTTTTTGGTGATCATGTAGTAATGTGTGTTCGTGGTCGCTGGCCTTTTTTGATACTGTATCACATATTGCATTCTCCACCTTCGTTATTCGTGCAGAGGGGAAATTTTGATTTCACAATGTTTGTCTGACAGCATAAACCTGGACCCGCTCCTGCCCCTGTTCCACCCGAACAGGTAAAATTATTTGCCCAACCATAGTTTGAATTGTGTTTGATGTATTATTTGTTTGAGTGATTAAGAAATTGGTCAGCATGACTTTTATGGATATTTTAAATTTGTTGACACTGATACTGCATGTTAGATTAGTCACCAGCATCTCTCACTGAATCCCTCTAGTGTATCACAAAACTTCCGGCTTGACTCTGTCATGCCGTTTCTCCTTCATTACTTTTATGGGGTCAAGTGTTATGTTAACTGCTTCTAAGGTTCTTCAATTTTTCTAGTCCAATTTAAAACAAATCAAAACTGTTTTTAATTAAATTTTGCTTTTTTCCATTTCCATTTATCTTGCTCTTGCACCTGAATTGTGTAATAACTTTGAATGAAAGCCCCCCTCCCCGTCCATTCTCCTTCCAGGTGCATAGTGCAAACAGCTTGGAGAGGAGCATTGATGTGCAGCATTGTTGTTGACACTTTTATTTTGCATGCCTTGTATATTATACTTTGCTCACTTTGGAAGAACATGTAAACTGGAAGATTTTGTCTTGTCTCGTATTGGTTTATGGGATTACTCACTGTCTTTAAATCATTTTTTTTTCATTCATTTTAAAAAGAGGTTTTTTTAAAAAGTAGAACTCTTAGCATTGTGTGCTGATCGGTATTTTGTTACCTTGAAAGATTTCCTGTTTTTTTTTTTTGTTTTGTTTTTTTGTTAATTTTTGTGGATATGAGCCGTAATTGACGCAGTTTATTTTTGAAAATCTTAGTTGAAAGTTGAAAGGCTGATGTCAGCTGGATTGCTGTCATACCTGTACAATAATATTTGTAGTGTACCTAGAAAATCTTCTGAAAAGCATGGTTGTCTCTGTCATCTAGTCATTTTCAGTGATTTATTATGGAGACCACTTATCTCTTCGGCTTTTATTCACGATGTAGTTTCCTCTACACCGTGCTTCTATTCAATACTAGTATATCTGTCGGTATGTCTGATTTGCTGTTCAATGAAGAAGGGGGCACCTCAGTTGCAAAATTTGCTCCTATATCCTTACAAAGAAGAAGCCAGAATGAACATACCATCCTCAATTAGAACCATGACATTTTGAGAAAAACTTTTTAAAAATATGGCTCTAAACTTGTGCCTGGATGTGTGCTATCTATTGTGATTTGCAAAATGTCCATTGTTTTACTGTACAGCGTGGCCTAAATTAGCTTTCTTTTAAATTGTGTTGAACAAACGTGGTCAGTTTATTAAGGCTCTTCTCTTGTATTAAGGTCGTTTATGGCTGTGTTTGTTAAATTCACATGAGGGTTGTAAGAAGAGCACATGTAAATACAATTTCTTGATGTCTGCTACCACTTGTGCCATTCCATATCTTGCCATGCCCTGTAATCTTAGCTCAATTTTGCACATAAATTAATTTTTGGTGTAGTGTTGCACAACCACATCGGTTTTGGGATTATTTCGATGAGGCTTGAAGTCTCATTTTTATCTATTCTTACCCTTGTTCTCATACATATGTTTTGTTTATTTGCTGTTAAAAGGATGACAATGAAGGCCCTGTTACCAAAAGCATCCGCCTGACTGCAGCTCTAATACTTCGCAACCTAGTCATTTATTCAAACTCTGGGAGAAGGTAAGAAACAGATGTAATATCTTGTAAGTACAATTCATAACCTTTTTGTCAAACAATTTGTATTGATTGATCACTACTTCTCTTTGCAGATTGCTTAGAAGCCATGAGCCTCATTTGGCAAGTGTAGCACTTAGCAATGTAGAATCATCTCGAACTGTGGCTCAAGTTCTCTATGACATGAATCATGCTACCGGAAACAGATGACCTGATTAATTATTCTTTAGAATTTATGAGTTAGTGTATTTTCACTCTGGGGTGGAATCTCATGTGACAAGTAAACACATTTGCAGTGTTCAAATGCATTAAATGCAGTGCAGAGCCTTCTATTATCATATGAATGTATAGAATCTATTTGTAAATACATGTACAGTATTTTTAAAGAACCATAGGGTGGTTTCAGGAATGTGGAACAGTGCTGTGCCCCTTTTAGTAGTTATGTTGCAGGCCTGGGCTTTCATCTCGGTGATATTCCATAGAGCATATAATTAGGGTGTTAATTTATTAATCATCAGACTCCATTTTGAATGTGTTTATCACAGCATTTTGCATATGGAGGATTGCGACTGCTCCTAGTGAGCTATATTTTCATCACAGGAACAGTTACTGCCATGCATAATGCAATTCATAAGGGTCCTTTTTTCCCTTTCTGCTTTTAAATAGTTAATGTCAAGATTACTTAAATTTTACCGGCACATTTAAGGAGTCTTTTTTCTTCAAATCTTTATTTATCAGTGTTGTACTTAAAGTGAAGAAAAAAATATTCCATGTTTTTCATCTCAACTGCCATGTCCAAAATTGGGTGGGTTATAGTTAAACTCACTTATAAATAATTTATTGTTAAATGTTTTCTACTTTAATCATAAGTAAGTTTGACTGTAATTTCTTACCCAAAGATATTTTACATGTAGACATTAAAACTTTTGTTTTTAAATGCAAAACAACTTAATTATTATTGGATTAAAATGTGATCTGTTTTCTGTGAGCGTAATTGATTCCAGGTTCCTGTAGGGTAGGGACTGTGTATCTGTCAACTTGAGTAACCGGTTTACTTTGTGCTGCCACTTTTGACAGTGCGTTGTGCAACTGAAAGAGTGTATTGTGTGATAAAATTTATTGTGTATGTTATTATTGCTGAAAGATTTCAGCAATATATTAGTGGTATCTTACTGTTTGGCTTAATTGAGCCTCAAGCATTACTTTTAGGGCACCAGACCTGCACCAACAGCTGATCTCCATGGCATGGCATTGTTAATCTGATTGGAAGGATTGATTAATTGAGATTCTATCCCAGGAAGTGTCCTCTTTTTGTTTTTTAAATGTTCTTATCTTAAGTGAATTTGCAAAGTTAAGCTTGCAAAGTATGTACAAAGTAATTTTAAAATTTTTGTAAAGTCAGTTTTATATTTTATGGAAAGGCAAACAAGCTGAATTGAATGTAATCATGTATTGTATAGATGTTGACATGAATTTGTAGACTTTCTTCAGATTCTCTTTGAAAAATAAATAATATGAAAATAACTGTAAAATTGTACTATTTGAAACCACCAATCAAAGATCATCTGAATCCTTTCTTTTTTGTATTTTTTTATTACCACAACAACTCATCTGTAAATTTTTGTTGCCATCGATGGGTGGTTTATGTACAATCTTGACACGCGTGTAAGCAGGGAAGTTAAGCATTTGCATCTAGTTATGTAAATATTTTTTAAATAGTTAGATGTTTACCAGCCTTTGCCCTTAGCTATCGTTATCCAAAATTGTTGTGTAAATTTTTGGGGGATGAAGCTGTTATTTTTCTATGTAAAACCCTTCACAGTTTATGAACAAAATTTCTAAAGGCCCTTAAACCTCAATCAATAAATAGCACTTTTCTAGAATTAGGAGGTATTAGTTGTAAGACCTCATCTGTGACAGTTATCATATTATTTACTAGTGTTCTAATCAGTATTAATGATTGATAACATAGTTGTTCAAACATTGTGGTGATCAGTCCAGTTGGAGGATGTGAATCTGTTGATTTTCCTTACAGTTCCTGATTCTGGTAGCCTTTTTTAATCACTGTTCAAATTTTCCATGTCAGATCAACTTGTTTGATTTGTAAGTAGCAAGCTGATTTGTACCTGGGCATGTGATTGCAGGATTTAAGTTTCTTTATTGCCTAACTAAGCAGTCGAATTCTCTTGACATTTTCTTCTGAGAAGGAAACACCACAATGCATATCCCTGTTGGGCAGTCAGTCCAATTGTTACATTTATTTCTTTTAACAGTCTGGGTTAATTTTTTTGTTAAGTAGCATTTTCTTCTTTGTAATTTTATCCAAGAAATATGTCATGTTTCTGAGAAAGTAGAGCTCTGCTTTTAAAGTAGATGACTCGCTTATCAATTTGTGATGAGAGGATTTTGCACTGTGTACAGTGTGCGTTATTGCCAAAAAGTTCTCAAATAAATAAAAATTGAATCAATTTGTTTGATTTATTCAACCTTAGAGGGGACTGTGTATGGTGAAATGGAAATATCTGTAACTGCACTGTAGAGTAACCAGAAATTTATTGATAAAAAAAAGTAACAAGAAAATTGATCCCATAAGTATTTAAAGTGTCTACAGCACTACCAATGGGCTTTCTATGAATGAACCTCAGCAATTTAGGACAATCTTCTAACAAGATGGTCCCAACAGCTTGGAAATCCCAGATCAGGCCAAGAAGGGTTTACAAGAAATGTTCTTACAATTTAGCACATTCGAGCAGGCCAAGGTGATGCACCACAAGTCAATCAACAGTGCAATGAAAGCAAAATCTTTTCCTCTAGAACATTGAAAAGGTCGTCATCACATTAAGTCCCTGATCTGCATGAATGGTGGGAAAACACAGGTTATGAATCCTTAAGTGCACTGAAAACTATTTGTGAACACTCAATGACTGGTTAAGATAAATCACATCACAAATGACTAAAATTTTCTAAGGTACACTGTTTTTTTAAAAACTACAATAAAGTAAAAAAGTCACAACATACTAATATTAAGTTCATAAATTTCCTTACTAGACAATAAAAAGAAGTGAAAAAACACTTTTTAGAATCAGTCCATGATGCATGTAAGGTCTATGTTGCCACTACTCATCTTAAACAGACCAACCTAGAGCATATAATTTAGGTGGTTACATAAAGTGCAAGAGAAACACACAAATTAATGCCTCAAAGAAGTTGGTTCTAAAGAGTTACTTTAGACATCAAAATTCCATGTGAAATCTTCAATTATCAGAGAAACAACAATATCTCCTGCCTAGCTAAAAAATTTAATTGTAACAAAGAGCATCTGATGTAATTGAACAGTTTATAATGGAAGCACAGAAGGAAGACAATCAGGAAGTCAATGTAATCATGGGTTTATCAGATCTCTTTATGCCAGGCTAACGAAAAATGGTTTGCAAGGATCCCTCAATTTGATGCAAAGTCTTTGGCAAAAAGTGCGAAACGAAAGTAAACCATTTTTCTCTCTCAAAAAAGGTTTACTGAGAGGAAAAAAGATACATCCAATGAGGGGTTCCTTAATTTCACCTTTGGTGCAGCATTACTTAGGACTAACATTTTAAGAAGCTAAAAAGAAATGAATAATTCATTACCACTGTTTCATTAGGACGGTTGGTTCATCATTTTAAATTTTAACTCTTATTGTGAAAATAGGAACAACTGTGTACGAAGGGCCTATCTATCTTTTGTTCTTTAATTTAAATACATTTTTCCTTTAAAAAAATACAAACTATTTCTGTTTATGTTCATTTTGTATTTTAAATATTTTTCTTTCCAGTCATAGAAAAGTCATAGCAGACAGCGAAAAGAAAACTTGTATAAAACTATCAGAAAGAGCAGTACTAAAAATAATGGCATCATCACTCGTGGAAGGGGGAAGCGTGACAATAAACAAGAACAATCCGAGTAACACTGAAGTTCAAAGAATTAGGAGTATTAAATGCACAGAAAAAGTAGTAAAAAGGAATATTCAAATTAAAAATTTAATTAAGAGGGTAGTCTTAAATATTATAGAACTTAACTAAAATTGACTAGTATTCGAGTTCAGGTGTTGTTGAAACAGGGTCTGGTAATGGTTCTGGCTCAATGGAGCACCGGGCTGAAAGTTCTTCATAAGACTTCCCATGTAAGAAACACACTAATACAACAGTCATATTGTCACAACCAAGGCCTCCCATCTGACAGTCAGGTGCCAAACAACAGGTCATGAGGTCTTCACAAATATCCTCAGGGTCCATGCCTGACCCAATGCGCATTCGGACAAACTCCACAACTTCCTGGGTAACCAAGGAGAAAACAAGATTTAGAATGTGTAGTTCAACAAAACAACATGAATAACCGACAACAAAATAGAACAAAAAACTGATATTATTACAAACCTCATTTGTCATAACATCCCAAATACCATCACAGGCCAGGATGATGAATTCCCAGTCTGGAGTAACTGTTCTAACTTCGATATCTGGGAAAGCTGGAATAAGGAAAAAATATGTGAAAATAAAGGTACTCAGAGAGCAAAGCAGCTACAGAAATGACATACCTGTTACAATTTGTTCTTCAGGGCTTACTCGCTGATTCTTCTTAAAGATGAAGTCTCCAAGAGCTCTTGATAGTGCTAAGTTTCCATTGACTCGGTTGTACTCCACCCAGCCTCCTGCAGCGACTATCCTCTTCTTTTCTGCATAGTTGCTAGGTTTGTGATCATAGGATAGAGGTTCAACTCTTCCACTGACACTAGCAATAGCTCGAGAATCACCAACATTAGCCTAGCAATGCAATTAAACGATTTCATTGTCAGGATAGAGACAACACACTTCAGTCAAAGAAGATTAGTTTGGAAGAATATTGACTCACGCAATAAAGACTGTTGTCTTTAATTAGAATGGACACAGCAGTGGTTCCAGCCATCTCATCTTTGAGAGATTCATCTTCTAGCATAGCAGTATCAACATCAAGGAATCCCTGTGTGTGGAGGGGGGGGATACAATAGAGAGCAACAAACATAGTGGCAACAAAAACTCAAGAACTAATATAAGAAGGTGAATATACCTGTTTCATTGCATCAGGAATAGAACCTTCTTTGTATTCAGGTCGTTGCAAAATAAATTTGTGCAAGTGTTTCCCAGCATACTGTGCAATTTTGGCACCTGGAACAACAGTTTTTGGTATGAATAAGTATGAATGTGTAAAATGTATATTCATAGCAATTTAGGATGAAGAAATTTATACCTCCATGCCCATCATAAACAGCAAAAAATGCAGTTCCAGGATCGTCCGGAAGCGATAAAAGATGAGTGTGCGAATCTTCCATATTTATGCGCCATCCTTGCATACAGCTCGACCCCACTCTGTACTGCTGATTTTGACAGCACGCTGACTCTTTTTCGGTGACTGGTTCAGACAGTGTCTGCCCCATGTTTCTGAAAACAAATTTCGATGGGAAATGATAAAAAGGACATTCCTGAAGAACAGTTGTGTGACGTTGTGTGGCATGAGACATATCACATCAAGGGGCAGAATGATACATTATTTTAGGGGCAATTATTTTAAGTTTGAGACAGAACATTTGAGAAGGTCGCCCAGCCCAAGAGTTGAGTCCGGACGTTGGCCGTACGCGGAAGGGTGAGTGAGTGCCCAACCGACACGGTGACACGGACGACGGATGCACCAATTCACAAGTTCGGCAGTCACGCGCCTTTCATTCCGTGACTATTGTCATCGTCATGCCACCTACGATAAACAGCAAAACGAATCGTTCTGCGGATGAATTTACTGGTGAATTTAGTCCTCCACCAGAATTGTTCTAAGAAGTATCCATAGAAATGAAGCGTTCGGAGCAGCAAGACTTACCTTTCGTTGGCGATACGTCATAAATCGCAAGTCAAAGATGCCAACTCCACGATGCTTTATGTTAAGGATAAGAGTGCAAATTCCGAAAGAGACAAGCAAGAAATGTTGCGAAATTCGAATTAAAAACATGAAATTTTACACGTCTTGGCTCCTTTTCCCTGTAAACTATGGCCCCTCTTCGGCCATTTTAGCAAGAGAATAACAAAGCAGCATAGCCAACCTTTGGGCAATACATATGAAAACAATAGACTCAATGGGATATCACATTCACCACAAGAATTGGATAAGTTTTTTCAGAAAAGAAATATATTTTGATTTACATTGACAAACAATGGATCGATTGGAATCGATATACATATACGGTTATGTTAAAAGGTATGTTCACAAATGGAACAGTTGTCTGCTTTTTGTTTTGGCGCGGGGGGTTCGAGGTTCGCGTTGTAACTGCTCATTCGGCTCAAATGCTGAAAATCCTGAAAATCCGTAATAATGGGAGTTTGGTAGCCCCTGGCGTGAACTTGTGACACATCGCTATGCGGCGTTGCCGCGGTTGCTCGGTTTTGAATGGTTATGGCGGAGTCGAGGGGGTAGTGGTAGTCCGCAGCATTTGGCGCGGAAAAATGGGAAAGGGTGGGCGGAGGTGGAGTAGCTGCGTGCTGCTCTGTGCTGCTCTGTGCCGCTCTGTGCACGCTCTGCCAAGCCACACCCTCCTGTTCTCCGAGAGCACTGGATTGACCTGCACCACACCGCACCGCTTGAAGCGCCTGCGAGATAGGCCAGCGACCCGGCCGGAACACACTGCTGGAGAGACGGTGGCCTACCTTGCCCCTTACGGCCCACAGGGGCAAGGTAGGCCGGCGTCTCCGCATCGGTGTGCTGCGGGGCGAGCCGGTGGCCTACCTCGCAGGCGCTTCAGGGGGCGCTTTGCGAGCGGCCGCTCAACCGCACTTTGAACCTTCGTGGCGAAACCATGGTTTGCCAAACATACCGACCTGAAAAGCTTTCGTGAGAATTTTACGGTGAGAAATTCGAATTGGAGTACAGTAGAGTGAGGATCCTGATTCTCGCCGCTGAGCGGTGGGAAGTTTTGTCGTTTTGGCCATCTTTCTCCGTCGTTCAATTTTAAGCGTTGTTAGTCAATCCCGTTGTAAGCCTAGCACTTATACCGGTACGGGGTGCGGGGTTGCCAAAAACAAGCGGCTCTGAGAAGAAACGCGGATTCAGGGCGCCACCCAAAAATTAAGTTTTTGGGGCAAGACGACAATTTACTGGACGAGTGCGGGGTGGTTTGGGTTGGTGGCACTGGCGTCGCTCGGCCGCGGTCCGTGGGCCGCAAACTGCTGTTGGCTTTCGCAGCACGGCCGGCGTGGTGTCGCCAGGACTTACTGGTTCGAACCGCGTACACGCATAACTCGACGCCCCTGTGGTCAGCGTCCCTCCCAGGACCCTACCTCTGTCTCCCTTGCACTCACGGGGCGCCGCGCAGCGAGCGCGGCGGTGCGAGAGAGGCGGAGAGACAGGCCGGGCCGCACTCTCGGCGAATGGCGCTCATTTCCCTGGCCATTTAGCAGGAATATGGAGCCAAGCGGAAAGGGTCTGCATTGCCAACCCCATGACCTGGAGTGGGAGCCTTCGAGCCGGGAGCACTGGAAGGACGCTCTGTCCGATTGCATGCATGTGCTATGTGCGCGGCGAGCCGGGGCAGCCGGGCTGGCCGGGGCAGCCGGAGCCCTGACGCAATTTACTGGGCACCCCACCGGCCTACTCCATCCCCTTCCGGGTGCGGGTCGACGCCGGGTCCACGCCGGGTCGGCCGGGTCGGCCGGGAGCAGGTGGACGCCTCGCCACGACACGCCGCGTGGCTGCTCCGTGCCTGCACGCCCCCCCGCAACCCGGAATCTTATTTTTCCGGCAATCTTGCTCGAGGATAAACAGTGGTCACGTCTGGACAAGGCAAGTGAGCATTCGGCACGGCTCGGCACGGCTCGGCACGGCTCGGCACGGCTCGGCACGGCTCGGCACGGCTCGGGGAGGGTCGACTGGCTTGGCTTGGGTTCAGGGCGGGTCCCGGACACAATCCACGCTGGTCTCATTCCGCAGGGTTGGCCAAATTTAGACGACCCTGTTTACATTTCTACATTTCTGCCTGAATTAGGGAGTTGAGTACCTCTCGTATGGTACCGCGTACCGCCCCTTTCACCCCACCCCACGTGATGTTCGTGAACTGCGGAAGGGTGGACTTGTCAACTTGAAAACTTTCTCTGGCTCCATTTGTGACCCTTTTGAACTGTTTGCCCACGCAAAGAATATGAAATAAATGAATCTGGGCGAACTTCGCACACGTAATCGCTTCCTTTCGGACGCCGCCGAACAGAAATTGCGTCCCTCCCTTCCCCTATGCGGTCCGTGTCGCCTGCGTGGCCAGCCGCGTCAAGGATAGTCTCGTCGCTTCGTCTCCGTCGCACTCACGGGGGGTTCCGTGGCGGTGCGAGAGAGACAGAGCGACGGAACGGGCCATCAGGGGGCTGGTGCGACTGGACGGCAACGCCACGGCAACGCAACGCCATCGCAGTCTCGCATTTCACTCACGACTCACGTGCACGGGGGACAGGGCGAGAGGCCCTCCAGCCACACCAGCTTACATCAATACACAGCGAGGGGGGGCTCACTGGGGTCTCAAACGTACAAAGATTTGACGGCCATTGATTGTCGGAATTTTTTTTCATTTTCTCCAACTTTGATGAAATTTTAGATCGGACCTGCAATTCCCCCCTTCCCCCATTTACGTTACGCGCGCGCGCAAATTCACACTATACCCCCATTGCACTCTCGTTTCCAAGTAGTGATTCACGTTGAAATTATTTTTGAAAATGTGGCATTGTCACATTCCTGGGCAAACAGGTAATTTGGCCGATTCACGCAAACGAATGTGACTCAATGCTCAAACGACCGTGACATAGTTTCAACCGGATGTCTCGCACTACGAATGAGTGTGCATCCGACCATCCTGATTTTGACAGGCTAAAAAAGATATAATAAACCAGTGAATACAGGATATTTTGGAACTTAAGGAACATTTTGGAACATTAAGGAACTTTTGGAACTTTAAACATTTTGAGATTTTTTTTATCGAGAATACTTGGGAACATGAGAACATTGGGAACATCAGGGAACATTTTTCGGAATTTTGACCGATGTACGAGGATGAATTGTTCACCCCTCGTGTTTGCACACGCAAAGAATATGAAATAACCACCTGGCGAACTTCGCACACGTAATCGCTTCCTTTCGGACGCCGCCGAACAGAAATTGCGTCCCTCTCCCTATGCGGTCCGTGTCGCCTGCGTGGCCAGCCGCGTCAAGGATCGTCTCGTCGCTTCGTCTCCGTCGCACTCACGGGGGGTTCCGTGGCGGTGCGAGAGAGACAGAGCGACGGAACGGGCCATCAGGGGGCTGGTGCGACTGGACGGCAACGCCACGGCAACGCAACGCCATCGCAGTCTCGCATTTCACTCACGACTCACGTGCACGGGGGACAGGGCGAGAGGTCCAACTCCAGCCACACCAGCTTACATCAATACACAGCAACATCACTACACCAGCCACACCAGCTACATCACTGCACCAGCTACATCACTACACCTGCTACATCACAGCACCAGCTACATCACTACACCTGCTACATCACTACACCAGCTACATCACTACACCTGCTACATCACTGCACCAGCTACATCACTACACCTGCTACATCACTGCACCAGCTACATCACTACACCTGCTACATCACTGCACCAGCTACATCACTCCGCCAGCTACATCACTCATCACTACACCAGCTACATCACTAGACCAGCCACATCACTACGCCAGCTACATCACTACACCAGCTACATCACTGCACCAGCTACATCACTACACCTGCTACATCACTGCACCAGCTACATCGCTACTCGTCACTACCTCGGCAGGTGAACAGGCCATGTGCCTCCAGAGCGTTGGCGCCTCTTCCTCTATTGCCGGAAACGTCATCTTGGCTCGGCTCGCGGCGGATGGGATGAGTCGCAGAGCAGCTTGGCTGGTGTGGCCTTGGCCGGCGCTGACCGCCTGGCGTTGACTCACTGTGTCGCGGTGGCGGCGTGGCGTGGCGGCGTGGCGTGGCGGCGTGGCGGCACCCATCGCTCGCTATGACATCATCGCACTGCACGCCTTGTTCTTGTTCGCTATCCGGCGTGCCGAAAGGCTGTTGTTTGGCCGAGGCGGCCCGGCTCAGCTAGGTGCGCTGGGTGCAGGTGGCGTGGCCGGCCAGGCCTGTTCCTGGCTTTCCCTGATCCCTCCGTCAAATACGGCCGGCGGTTCGGCCGGCGGTGGCTGCGATTCCTTGCCTCCCTCGCCCCGCGCCGTGCCGTGCCGCGTGACCCCAGCCACATACCGCGGCGCACGGCGCGCACGGCGCGCACGGCGTTCAGTGTGTTCCGGTGGCGACAGGATTGCGGGAAGCCTCTGCTGAGCCTTCGGCGGTGTGGATGCCGAGCCGGGCCAGGCCCCTCAACGCCCCTCAACCTCGTGCCGACTTCTATCCTTTTATCGGGCCTGGAGGTGTGCCGGGGTGCGGCGGGGCGAGGCGAGGCGCGGCGGCCCCGGCCGGTCACTACACTACACACGGCATTGTTTACCCTCCGCCTTCAATCTCAGGACGGGCGCCAACTATTAATCCTCCCCTCCGCCTGTGCGGCCCGTCCTCTCTCTCCCACACACTCCGATTCGATTGCCGTCTCTCTCTCTCTCTCTCTCTCTCTCTCTCTCTCTCTCTCTCTCTCTCTCTGTCTCCACCCCGTCGCTCTCGACAGTCTCGACGGGGCTCGTTGACCTCTGCTTTCTGTGAGCGGAACCTGGGCTTCTCTTTCTCTTCAGCGCGGCTGTGTCGCCGTGCCGCCGTGTCGCCGTGTCGCCGTCCAGACGGTTGTGGGGGTTGTCCAAGCAGACTGGTAGTACCTTGCACGGCCCTTCGGCCCTCCATGCCCCACGAACAGCAAAGAGCGGTCCGGTTACATCACTCGGACAAAGGGACCAACTTGGCGCGTACCGAATGTTGCGCCACTGCTTGCTCCGAGTTGAGAGCAGAGGTAAGGGAAGTCCCTGAAGGCCCTGGGGCCACGGCCGACGCATAGTGGACTTGCCAGAGGACCGGTGGAGGCGGCCAAAATCCCGGACGCGTTT